TTTTACACATCAGTAACGAGTAACGATTCAGGCTGTGAAAAATCGATCGGAGTAAAATTATTAAATTAATCAAAAATATGTAGTGGAGTAAAAGTAAAAGTAGGGACGAAAATATCTACTCCAATAAAGTACAGATACTGCATTTTGGTACTAAAGTACAGTACTTAAGTAGCTCTACTTCGTTATTGAACATCTTTTCCTCTGATATGAGGCAGAATGATATCTATTTTCTGGAACAAGCCTGAAATTGCTCAGCGGCATGCAGGGGCTGTGAAGGTCAAAACAAGAAGACTGTAAAGTGAGTAGACGTGTACTATAAGGCCAGATTACACAGGAGAGCCCCTTCCTTTATTACATCCTCAGCCATGAATCATGTGTTGTGTCTGGGTCACAAGAAATAAATAAACAAATAAATCAATCACTGCATTTGCATCCTTTGGATTATCAGTGACAGCTTTGTTCTCATTAATCCTGAATAGATAAAACACCACCCTGTGTCCAGCAGACAATGCTGTCTGTTTCACTTTAGGTATTGTTTCAATATCAATATCAATTTAATATCAATCTTTAACACGTGTTTGCACAGAAAATCTGACCTACTTTTCAAATGCACACAAATGTACACAATAAATCAAAAGATTATGATCACATACTTGCTTTTGAGTGTGTAGTTTTTCCTCAAAACTAGCTCCGATCTACCAACATGTGAAGAAAAACACAGTCAACCCTATAAAGCCAAATGTGTCATATCTGATCCGGTTTCTTTTGGATGTGAGACTTTTTGCATCATTCAGTGGTAAAAGCTTTGCTCAAACCCCTGTTGTACACATTCAGATATACCTGATAACAGCCAGTAGAAGACTACACCAACATAGATTTCTGACTTATTTGATCAAAATAATTTCTGTTTTTTTTCTTCATATGTTGTTGAGGGGCCAAAGAAAGACTTCAGACTAAAAAAATCCAATATTCTTCCTATTTTTCTTGGATCAGGCTTTAAAGGGTTAACTAGACCACTGTACACTGTTAACAAAAATGTTCTTTTTTAAAAGAAAAAAGAAAAAAAAGGGGGGAAATTGAAGACAAAAGTTTAAATAATGAAGAAATAAAAAAGGACAGCTCAGATAAATGTGACTTTTTTTTTATTTACTAAGGAAAAAAGTAGTCATGAGAAGAAAAGAAATAAAAAAATCAATTAAGCTGGTAACACTTTTTTTCTTCATATGTTGTTGAGGGGCCAAAGAAAGACTTCAGAATAAAAAAAATCCAATATTCTTCCTGTTTTTCTTGTATCAGGCTTTAAAGGGTTAAGGAGTGTTTCTCACTGGCTTTCCTTATAGATGAAAACACATTTAGACACGAGGAGTTTGCTTGTCAAGCAAACAACCTCTCAAACTCTTTTTTGTGTTTTTGTTCTGTCAGAATGTGTTATTATGAGAGTGTGGTTGTAAAAGCTTACGAACGTGATCAGGATAAAACAGCATATTAAGAGACCCTACTCTGTTATTCATCTAGAAATGTGTCAATTGTGGAGCCATCAGAAAATAAGCGGAGGTAAAAATGAAGCCGTCATTATTGTTGTAGTGGGACCACTCACATCTCAATCCCATTTGATTTAGCCTCCACACTCCAGTTTACCACAAGTGTGTCATTTATTGTTGCGGCAATATTGGAATCGCTCTCTCTATGTCACATTTGATTTTTTCAATAGTTGCATCTGCATGTTGGACAGCCAAACAGATCCTAAAACACTAAAACATTAGACCTGATAACAGGGAAAATCAGAGCTTTTTCTGCTCATTCTAATACCACCAGGAACATTTCGACAGAATGTGCATGAACATCTCATTAAGGAGTCTTTTTCTTTTTGAAAGCCAAATGATATACAATTAACCCTGTAAAGCCAAATGTATCATATCTGATTCATACGGTTTCTGAAATGTTTTGCGTCTGACACCTTTTGCATAATTTAATGGTAAAAACTTTGCTCTAAATCCTATTGAACACAATCAGATACACCTGATAACAGGGGGCAGAAGACTACACAAAAAAAAATCTGGACTTATCGCATAGTAATACATTATTAATATTAAAAATGTATTTCTGTTTTTTCTTTTTACATATTTTGTTAAAAGGCCAAATAAAGACTTCAAACCAAAAAAAAAAGTATTTTTCGGTTTTGTTTTATTCTTGGATCGGGCTTTAAAGGGTTAAAATGACCAAGTTAATGGAATACAGGATGAAAGAAATTCATTGTACCAATTTTTTTAAAACACTGACTTAGCTAAAGTCGCCTTTATCAAACACAAATCATTAAATAAAACAAAGGACGATAAAAATATGAGCCTCTCCCATGAGAGAATATGACTGGTTTAACTCTGTGATTTATGTGAGACGCAGTGCTAAAATGCCCCCCAAGTCAAAATCAAATAAGACTTCCAATTCCTCTGACAATCTGCCTCTTTCTTCATCTATCACGACTTGGCAGAAAACTATATATATATATATTATATTATATTATTATATATTCCTGCAAGGTCACCAGCAGAGCAGGGGGTGTTTGGAAGTTTTAAACACTAACGGAGCCATAAAAAGATACACTGGCATGTTTGGGTGGCAATTAACCCTTTAAAGCCTGATCCAAGAATAAAACAAAACCGAAAATTACTTTTTTTTTGGTTTGAAGTCTTTATTTGACCTTTTAACAAAATATGTAAAAAGAAAAAACCGAAATACATTTTTTATATTAATAATTTATTACTATGCGATAAATCAAGATAATCTTTTGTGTAGTCTTCTGCCCCCTGTTATCAGGTGTATCTGATTGTGTTCAATAGGATTTTGAGCAAAGTTTTTACCATTAAATTATGCAAAAGGAGTCAGACGCAAAACATTTCAGAAACCGTATGAATCAGATATGATAGATTTGGCATTACAGGGTTAAAAATAGCTTCAAACCAGCAGACTCCATGTATCAGCAGCTTGGACAGTAATTGTTTCCAGCCCAAACCGGGACGGGAGCGTTTTGTGACCGGGGCCCGGCCCTTTTATTGATCGTTTTATTCTGTTACTTCTGAGGAAAGCCACCGTAATGAAATTATATGCAGAGAAAGGAGGAATGCAGGCATTTTTTTATATGAAGGAGTGGAGATAAAAGAAAAAACAACACGAATTGTGATTTTTACTGACGTTGCAAGAGTTGAAACCATTTTAATAAACATGTTATGGTATTGTTTAGGTACTCTAGGTGTAATGTGTGTGTAATGTCTATGTCCACACCTAAAGTCTGTGTCTGTGTCTCTATGGGAAATTAAGAAAAGCAAGTTAAATTTTGGGGTCTTTGTTTTTATCCTTGTGGTATTTAAAATGGTATCGAGTATAGAGTATTTTCCTGAGTATCGGTATCGAGTTGAAAATTTGAGTATTGTGACAACCCTAATGTCTACAAATAAAACTTTTAATGACAATGTTCCCTTGAAAAAGAGATTGTTAATCTCAATGGGACTTTTCCTGGTTAAATAAAGGAAATCAATTGTTAGGATTTGGCTATAAATACTCACTTTAGCATAGTATGCTATCACATGATCTATGTAGATTACTGATTGTATTATTTTCTTTATAACTATATTTTGTGTTGAAGTCTCTGGCTGTAACCAGATATTCTCTCTTTTCTCTCTTTTTCTCTCTCTGTTGCATTAGATCCACCTTTAGGTCAACACACACACACACACACACACACACACACACACCATTTGTTAGCACATTCCTGTCCTCTGCATGAATTAGGACCTGGCCTGTTCCTGCCCAGAGGTAACTGGCCAATAGGACGTGGTTGTGTCCAGTCCTCCTTTGAGGAGGCGGATGGAGCCCAGGAGATAATGCCCATCACCCAGATCTCAGGGCTCTAACCCACTGAGACCCAGAGAGAGGTTTTAGTCTGTCAGAGCCCACTGAGACACTTAAAGTGGGGGAAATAAGTATTTGAGCCCTTGCTGATTTTGCAGGTTTGCCCACTTACAAAGAATGCAACGATCTATAACTTTAATCATATGTACATTCTAACAGTGAAAGACAGAATCCCAAAGAAAATTCCAGAAAATCTCATCATATGAATTTATAAAAATTGATAACCATCTGATGAGGAAAAATAAGCATTCTTTGTAAGTGGGCAAACCTGCAAAATCAGCAAGGGGTCAAATACCTATTTCCCCCACTGTATCTGTGTCCAAAAAATGTCATTTTTTATACTTTTGATCGACTCTGGTTTACTCTCAGGTTTCCAACTAAAGAATCGGGTTAACATCGTCATTTTGCTGTCTTTGTCTTTTCGTTCCTCGTCTTCCCCCACGCCACAAAAGATTTTGATTTTTGCAGTTTGTCACAGCCTTGTTGTGCCATAGTCTTGTTTACTTTATTTAGTACTTTTACCATAGTCTTGTTTACTTTATTTAGTACTTTTGCCATAGTCTTGTTTACTTTATTTAGTACTTTTACCATAGTCTTGTTTACTTCATTTAGTACTTTTACCATAGTCTTGTTTACTTTATTTAGTACTTTTGCCAAAGTCTTGTTTACCTTATTTAGTACTTTTTTATTTGTTATAATACTTTACCTGTGACCCAATAAATGTCAATTTTTTACTCTTGATCCACTCTGGTTTGTTCTCAGGTTTCCAACTAAAGACTCGGGGTTAACAAAATAAAAAAACACGATTTCTCCGTGTCTCCACAGGTGAAAGGTTGAAAAACATAAAAGACGTCTATAGACGTTCTTTTTACATATTTTGTCTATAGACGTCTTTGGCAGCCGACGAGTTAAATAAAGGAAATAAATAAAAAAACACGATTTCACCGTGTCTCCACAGGTGAAAGGTTGAAAAACATAAAAGACGTTCTTTTTACATATTTTGTCTATAGACGTCTTTGGCAGCCGATGAGTTAAATAAAGGAAATAAATAAAAAAAACTCGATTTCTCCGTGTCTCCGCAGGTGAACGCCGGGATGGTGTGCGGGGAGGCGGGGGGGCACAGCTACCTGGTGGCCTGCTGGCAGCCGATCCTGGTCCTGATGCTGGGCACCGTGCTGTCGGGCTCCACCACCGGCTGCCCGTCCCGCTGCGACTGCAACGCGCAGGAACGATCGGTGGTTTGCCACCGCCGGAGACTTTCCGCGCTCCCCGAGGGAATCCCCACCGAGACCAAGCTCCTGGACCTCAGCAAGAACCGTCTGAAAACCCTGGGCCCCGAGGAGTTCGTCAACTACCCCCAACTGGAGGAGCTGCAGCTCAACGAAAACACGATTTCGTCAATCGAACCGGGGGCTTTTAGCAACCTGGCGAATCTACGAATTTTAGGTCTGCGCACCAATCAGTTGAAGCTGATCCAGTTGGGCGTGTTCACGGGCCTCACCAACCTCACGCAGCTGGATATAAGCGAGAACAAGATCGTGATTCTGCTCGACTACATGTTCCAGGAGCTGTACAACCTAAGGGGGTTGGAAGTTGGGGATAACGACCTGGTTTTCATCTCGCCGCGGTCGTTTCACGGCCTCAGCAACCTGGAAAGCCTCAACATCGAGGGGTACAAACTCGCCTCGGTTCCCACGGATGCTCTTAGCCATTTGCACAATCTACTGTCTCTGCGATTGCGATATTTGAACGTCACCGTAATAAAGGATTACTCGTTCAAGAGGCTGTACCGGCTCAGATCGCTGGAGGTCTCTCACATGCCCGCCCTGGATACCATGACCCCGAAATGCTTGTTCGGACTCAACCTCACGTCTTTGTCGATCACAAACTGTAATCTCACGGTTATCCCCTACCAGGCCATCGGCCACCTCAGATATCTCCGGTTGCTGAATCTATCTTTCAACCCCATTCGATCCGTAGAAGGAAACCAGCTCTATAATCTCCAGAAGCTCCAGGCTTTCCATTTGGCGGGTGGGAGATTGTTGGCGATTGAACCCTACTCTTTCCGAGGACTAAACCACCTCCGGGTTTTCAACGTGTCGAGCAACAACTTGAGCACCCTGGAGGAGTCCGTCTTCCACTCGGTGGGGAACCTGGAGACCTTGGCTTTGTACGAAAACCCTTTGGCCTGTGATTGCCGCCTGCTTTGGGTTTTCCGCCGGAGGTGGAGGCTCAATTTCAACAAGCAGCAGCCGGTGTGCGCTTCTCCCGAAGTCGTGCGGGGAAAAGAGTTCAAAGACTTCCAGGACGTACTCCCCCCCGACTATTTCATCTGCCACAAATCGAGAATCGTGGATTACGGCGTTCAGGAAAGCCACGTGGACGAAGGAACCACGGTCCGTTTTACTTGCCAGGCCGAGGGAGATCCGGTTCCCGTGATCATGTGGCTGTCCCCTAAAAAGGAATATATCACCACCAAAACTATCCGGTCCAGACTTTCCGTTTCCGGTGAGGGAACCCTGGAGGTGCGATACGCTCAGATCCAGGATAACGGAACTTACTTATGTATCGCGAGTAACGCGGCGGGTAACGAGACCAAAGCCGCCCACCTTTTCGTGCACAGCTACTCTCCTAATTGGCCTCACCAACCCAACAAAACATTCGCTTTCATTTCCAACCAGCCAACCGACGAAGGCGCTAACGTGACTAGGGCCTCCGTCCCTTTTCCGTTTGATGTAAAGACTCTGATAATCGCCACCACCATGGGATTTATATCGTTCCTCGGAGTGGTCCTCTTCTGTCTTGTGATTTTATTCCTTTGGAGTCGAGGGAAAGACAACAACAAGTCGACCATCGAGGTCGAATACGTGCCGCGAAAAGAGGAAACGGAGGAAGCAAGTCCAACTGAAGCCGCTGTACAGTTTAACATGAAAATCATGTGAGAAAAGAGAGAGAAATGGAGGCCATGTAAGCTTAAAAACTAAAGTCAAGGTGCATATTCTGTAATTAACATATGTACTCGTTTTATGAGCGATAGAAATTGCACAGCAGCAAAAGCATCTTGACACTATACCCTTGACATTTTTTTTTTTTTTTTTTTACTCGAGGGACTGACTGAATCTTTCAAAGTTGATGTTGAATTTCAAATATTACAATTTCTGTACATTTCTATTGGCAGTCCTCAGTATGTTAACATGCACTCAACAGTCCAATTAGCACACAAAGCCAAATAAGGGGAACGAGGGAGAAATGAATAAAGCACAGGTTGGTGAATGTGTTCATATTTGTGAGGATTAAGAAATTAGTTGCTTTTTTATCTGGGGAAAAAGATTTAGTTGACAGTATAATTTAGGTATATTTTGTTCTGATGGATATACAAAGCACAAAGACCCAATGTAAGTGCCCATTTTCTGGTGCCTGTAATACTTAGATAATACTTTTTTGTCCCTGCACATGAAGCTTTTCGGCAAACTGTTAGGAAATGGGGGGAAAAGTTATATTTTCACGATAAAAAATGTTCCGAAAAAGACTTTACTAAAAATAATCTCAATAGTAATGGAAGCCCACCTGCCCTGCGAGAATAAACAAGTGGAAAGTTTCAGGAACTTTGGGAAATAAGATACATAAAATAAATAATGCAATCGTTCTTTTTTCTTTAACAGAAGCACTTTTTTCTGTTATTAACCCTTAGTTTGGCATCAATACTGCACCAACTGTATTCAGTCTGTGGATCAATCAGATTATTGCTTTCACGCAGTGGGATTTAAAATATGTATGTGAATTTTGGCTTTAACTTTAACGACAAAGTTAAATCATCCATTTCAACTCATCTTCTTATACTATTCTGATAACATTCTTAAATACAAACAGAGAAAAACAATAGTTTTCTACATTCTCTCCATCCAGTTAACTATTTCAATACTGTGAAAAATGTCTTTTTATTACATAGATTATAGTAGAAATAACTGTCAATAAAGAAAAATGTGCTTAAACATACTTAAAAATTAGGCAACTGGGATAAATTATACCTGTTATTACATTTAGTCCATGAAGTAAAATAAAAGAATAACAGCCCAGGGCAGAACTGTCTCTGTAGTGTGAGGTCATTTGAGGAACCAAAAACTCATGATGAGGATTTGAAATAAAGCACACATAATTTGCACAAATGGTCGAAAGCCAAGGTACATTTTTTTCATAAGTTAGCAACAATAAGTGACTGAATTCCTGTTGAAGATGGACGACTGAATCTGGCTCCCAGGATAAGACATTAGCTTATCCATCAAGTTTATTTTACAGCACATTTCGTGTACAAGACAATTCAAATTTGCTTCACAGAGAACTTAAAAGCAGAAAAAGAAGAAAAGAAAAATAACCAAAATTAGGCAGATGAAAAGTGAAGGGTGCAGATACAATACAGTGGGGGAAATAAGTATTTGAGCCCTTGCTGATTTTTCAGGTTTGCCCACTTACAAAGAATGCTTATTTTTCCTCATCAGATGGTTATCAATTTTTATAAATTCATATGATGTGATTTTCTGGAATTTTCTTTGGGATTCTGTCTTTCTCTGTTAGAATGTACATATGATTAAAGTTATAGATCGTTGCATTCTTTGTGAGTGGGCAAACTTGCAAAATCAGCAAGGGCTCAAATACTTATTTCCCCCACTGTACATTCAATTTCCATCTGCACAGATAAACAGAAGCGTGTTCAACCTGGATTTAAACACTGTCTCACATCTTCAGGAAGACTGATCCAGATTTTAGGAACATCAGAAGTCTGTTTGATATCTCTCCATGTTTGCTTTCTCTGTTTTCACTGACCAGAAACACACAAAGTCAAATTTGTTGTTATCAGATGACAACAAACGGATGAATCTTCTCAGATAAATCAGATACAGATGTGAAGCTGCACCTCAAAGATGATTCTCAATCACTCCTCTTCTGTTTTCCACGTCAAATTGTGATACTAAGTTTTCTATAAGAACTCCAATAGTGTTGTCTGGAATAATCCAACGTTTAAAACAGTAACGCAGATCTTCATATGCTGTAACAAACGAGTGGCTTCGTTCATGAAGTTCCACATTAACTGTATCTGTGAGTGATAAGTGAAATAATTTTTTTTTTTTTTAAATGGGTTAGGGTTCCTGGATTGAGTACCATGAGGGGCCTTTAGTTAACTGTCTGTTCTGAGGTAATAAAGGGAGTATGTGTTATTATCATGTGGTATACCACACTTTTCCCCCAATGACGAAGCCTGATAGTGATCCAGGATTGGTTTAATACAGTGGGGGAAATAAGTATTTGAGCCCTTGCTGATTTTGCAGGTTTGCCCACTTACAAAGAATGCAACGATCTATAACTTTAATCATATGTACATTCTAACAGTGAAAGACAGAATCCCAAAGAAAATTCCAGAAAATCACATCATATGAATTTATAAAAATTGATAACCATCTGATGAGGAAAAATAAGCATTCTTTGTAAGTGGGCAAACCTGCAAAATCAGCAAGGGCTCAAATACTTATTTCCCCCACTGTAACTGTCTGTTCTGAGGTAATAGAGGGAGTATGTGTTATTATTTTAATGTGGTATACCACACTTTTCCCCAAATGACGAGGCCTGATAGTGATCCAGAACTGGTTTAACATGTAGAAAACTGATGTCTGCATATGTTCCAGCTAAAGGTGTGCATGTTAACACACTGAATAAAAAAAAAAGATGCCACAGTTTGTGCTCCAACAACGGACATTTGTCATTATATGTATTGACATGTTGCAATATACATATTTTTCTGTATTTTATTCTTCCTTGTACATTACGCTAT